CCGGCGCTGTACTACTTCCAGATTCCCAAGCCTCTGGCCGACCAGTCTGCGCCCGTACCGACGGTCCGCTACCAGTCCTTGAACCGCACCTCAACCACCACGGAGACGTTCAAGCACCTCATCGTGGACAACGAGATAGAGAAGGTCGAGCCGTATGAGGGCGTCTTCCACCCCTTCAACGGGGCGCTCCAGAAGTACAACCTGGCCATTCCTTACGGTTACGTGACATGGGGCTTCGCTAAGATGCCCTCGTGGATGCCTATGATCATCATCTCGTTCCTCAGCCGGTCGTTCATGTAAGTGACTCCATGATGCAGCCGTGGTTGTAGTGTACTGATATGAAACCAGGAACAAGCGTATGGCGGGACCTACTCCCGCGGAATCTCGTGCCGCAGCTGCGCGACCAGCACAGTAAATGAATGCCTTCCGCTTACTGCGGGCTTCGGCTACAGCCAGATAGGATCGTTCTGGGATCACATACGGACGTCTCTGTGGGGACTCGGGGAGAATGGACATATGGGAGGGAGGGCCTCGGAAGGATCATACATTGATAGCTTAAATACCTGGAAGGCGTTTAGTCAATTTATGCGTATCGTTAACACCTCTGTGCCGACTTGAAAGACTTGAGATTGTGAAGTCTTCAAGATGCTACTTCGCAGCACTTTGATCGGCGCCAAGCGCGCTAATGTCGGCCATCTCAGAATCTCGCCATGCTTGAACTCGGCAATTCCAACCGCGCATCACATCACAGCAGCCATGGTGCACATATTGAAGCGCATGCGCAAGCTGCATGAGGTAAGTGATACGTAAGCTACGGCTTCATGTCGGCATGAAATCGTACTGATAATGGCTACAGAAGGTACGAATCTTTCCTCCCCCTACCTCCGCAGGCGCCGCTCGCAATCCTGCGCTAGAAGCCGACTGATTGAAGATGCGAACCGATTTGCTGACAGTATCGGGGATAGTTGTTATGGATACGATGTGGACCAGGCGCACTCATACTGCCGAAAGAGGTGTCGAAGATTAGCATGGAGTTCAACGCAAAGCTCTATGGGGGGCATCGGGGCGCAAGGTACGCTTGCATTCCGTTCTCACGGTTCATGCTACATCAGATGCTCACTCTACAACCAGGAAATTCTGGCGCGAGATGCTGCCTCGCATAAAGTACCGCAACCCGTCCATCCCAATCGAAATATCGCGACACAACAGCGCAGACGGCCCCTCACTCCTGCACATCTACACATCTACCAAAACTCAACCCACCGCCGACTCGACAAACTCCCCCATCGCCCAGCAACCAGACACATCACCACCGTCCGGTACACCGAACGCGCGGAATACGCTCACACCCGACACCTCCAAACCTACACATACCATCAACATAAGGGACCAGTTGGAGAGCGAGATCTTGGATGCACTGGTAGCGAAGACTGGGGCTGAGGAGATCAAGCCGACAGAGCAGGAACTGGCCGAGATGCGGGAGATTGCCGAGTTCAAGGACAGGAGTGAGGCGGATCGGGTGCAGGTTAGGGAGAGGTTGCTCAAGGAGCGGAGGGAGGCCGAGTTGCTCAAGTTGGCGAGGGGAGAGGTACCTGCTATCAACTGAGGGAAGAAGGCACGACGTGTTAGAGCTTGGTAGAGGCGATTGTACGAATGCGCGCATTACATATGCGCCGCAGTCGGGTCTCAAGAGTCACCCGTCTATAACAGTATACTGTAGAGCACTTAAGAATGACATGTATATATATCAATGCAGCATCTGAAACTCACGACAGAAAAAAAGTGTACTGGAAAGATGTAGCGGACTAGGTTTGTCCCGAGCATCAGTGGCCAACGGCCTAGCAAAAGGGAATTGGGATTAGTCCGCCTGGCAAAACCCATACACCGAGCTCAAACCTTGCGGTAAACTCAGGCTTCTGGAAGCTGCCAGCGTTGCTCTCCAACCTGTCGTCCGAAACAATCTATCGAAGAAGAAAGTTCCCTGATGGACGAACTGTCAGCGCTTCAACCATCACACCCCGAGGGACGAGCCCAAGACGTGGACGGGAAATGCTGACACAGGCCGTGGTTGAGGGAAGAGAAGCTGCGAGGCCAGAAACTTTTTTATGAGCGTCGGCTAACCTCCGGGGCGCTAGTGTAGTAGTGGCTTGGCGGTGGATGGGCGGAGGAGCGAGGGTGCCCGCGGCTCCCTGCTGGATAGTCGACCACTTACTGCCGTTTGGCCTAGATCAAGTGTAGTATACAAATCTTCTCTTCTCGGTAATTACTTCTACCACACAGCGATCGGTACGTGAAAGTAGCAACTCGTCACTGGTACTGGCCACGCTATTTGATTTGCGGTCTTCCTCTCTCCTTTCTCCTCACATACACACTACTGTCGACAACGGGCCCATCGCTTCCACCATGGCAGACCTTTCCATCGAGGAGGCGAACAAGATCCGCCTGTCCATGGGGCTGCCTGCGCTGCCCGGTACCACTGCCGCTGCTGCCCCCTCCGGGCCTGCCTTCAAGCCCGCTGAAGATGGCGACAACTCCGACGAAGAGCCCGCGAGTACCGTCGACACCCGCCAGGCCGCTGCCTCGGACAACTGGAAGAAGCTGCAGGATGAGCAAGAAGCCAAGAAGAAGCGCGCAGGCCGCGCGGCTGCCATCAAGAAAGAGCGCGAGAAGTCCGCGCGCTTTACCAAGCTTGAGGGCAAGGGATTGGCTGACGAAGCGGACGATGCCGATGACATAGCCTGGCTGAAGAGCAGCAAGAAGCGCCAGAAGAAGATCGCCAAAGAAGAGCAGATGCGACAGGAGCTCGAAGAGCGCGAGCGCCAGGCCCTCGAAGCCCTGCAGTACACCGACAAAGATCTTGCAGGCATCAAGGTCGGTCATGAGATCGATCAGTTCGACGATGAGGACCAGATCCTTGTTCTGAAAGACACCACAGTCGATGCCGACGATGACGATGAGCTGGAGGCAGTGGCGCTGAGAGATAAGGAGCGGCTACAGGAGAGGCTCGACTCGAAGAAGCGGAAGCGCGTTTACGATCCGAACGACATGGACGAGGCGGGTCAAAAGTCGATCCTTGCGCAGTACGACGAAGAAATCGAGGGCAAGAAGGGAAAGGCCTTTACGCTGGACGGCAAGGGCCGGACTGTCGAGGACGTTCAGGCTGAAGTTTCGGGTGCCGCGCGGCCGAACAAGGTTGCCATCAGCCTAGACATTCTCAAAGACGATGCGCCCGCCAACGACTACATGGATATCTCCGAGGTCAGGATGAAGAAGCCGAAGAAGAAGAAGGCCAAGAAGGCCAAGAGGGAGCGCATCGAGGATGAGGAGGATATACTCACCATCCCCGTGGAGGAGCCTGCCGCCGATGACATGGACATCGATGAAAGTGACACTGCTGTTCCACAACAGAAGAAGAAGAAGAAGTTCGACGAATCATTCGTGGATGATGACGATCTCCAAGCGAATCTCGCAGCCCAGCGGCAGAAGGCCCTCAAGAAGCGCAAGAAGATGCGGCCCGAGGATCTAGCACGGCAACTTCGCGAGGAAGCATCTACGCCTCAATCTGATGTGCTCGAGTCTACTGAGGACGGCGATGGCGATGCCTTGGTCATCGATGAGACCACCGAGTTCGTCCAGAACTTGGGTGCTGTTGGAGACGCGGACGAAGAGGACGCTCGGCGGAAACTCAGAAAGTCCAGCCATGCCTCTGAAGGCATCAAGTCCATGGGTGACATTTCGGTCGCCGATGAAGATGGTGATGTGAACATGGCCCAGTCCTACGCCGAAGCGGCTGAAGCAGAAGATGTCCGCAACCGCAGCGAGTCTCGTGCCCGTTCCATCGGCATCACCGATACTGGTCTTGAAGCCGAGAAGACTGTCGATCAAGGCCTAGGTGCCACACTAGCCCTGCTTAGACAACGAGGCTTGGTGAGCCAGACGGACGCCGGAGACAAGAACGCCCACTACCGCGACCGCCAGAAGTTCCTCGCCGACAAGCTCAAAGCTGAAGGCGATGCTGAGCGCCAACGTAAAGCTGCGCGTGAGCGCGAGCGAGGATCTGCCCGTTGGAACACGATGACGCCCCGCGAACGTGAGGAGTGGGCTCGTAAGCAGAACACCCACGCCGACATGTCCGAAAGCCGCCGCCTCGCCGACATCTTTAACAAGGAGTACAAGCCCAACGTCGAGCTCAACTACGTTGATGAGCATGGCCGCCAGATGAATCAGAAGGAGGCGTTCAAGCAGCTCAGTCACCAGTTCCACGGCAAGGGCAGCGGGAACACGAAGACGAAGAAGTACCTGGATAAGGTTGTGGCTGAGAAGAAGAAGATGGCTGAGAGCTCGCTCGAGGCTAGTCGGTCTGGTGGTGGTGGTCTTACAAACGCATTGGATAACCAGGCGAAAAAGAACAAGACGGCTGGTGTTCGCCTGCTGTAAGCACGAGGAGCATGAGTTGGGTGTGAGACGGGCATGGTGTTATGCGGAGACATACGGTTCACCACAAAGGTCAGTAGCTTCTAAAGCTGTACTTTAAGATTCGTTCATTAATGCGAGATTGTCTATAGAACCCTTCAAGCCCACAGTGATGATGGTATACTCCCTGTTACGTTGTTATGCTTTACTGACATCAGACTCCGGACGCTCAAAGACGTAGCTACACTCATTGTTTCCGTCGAGTTCGTCTACTCCTACGTCGCGCTCGTCATATCGTAAGTACAGCGTATGGACAAATGCTCGCACATTTAGTCCAGAACGGTAAGTGATATATGTCTTTCCGCCAGGGTCTCGGACCAAAATAGGTTATAAGTATTCCATGTTTATTGCCACTTTTGGGAAACATTTTGGTCATGATAATGGTCATTCTGTACACGGTGGGGTGCCCCATACTGCGACAATGCCTGTATGGCTAGGGTCTGCGAGAACGAAGGTTGAGTTTTAGAACATGCCGTGCTGAAGCTGTAACAGCTACTATATATTTATACTAAGTCTTTGTCTTTCAAGCATCAGTGGTTTAGTGGTAAAATTAGCCGTTGCCATCTTGTTAAAGATTAATTCGGCTAGCCCCGTGTTCGATTCACGGCTGATGCAAAGTTTCTTTTAGGTCTTGTGTGGCAACCAAAACAAGTGACCATTTATCTATTTTTTTTACCTTCTAGTGGTAGCACCTCCTCACGCTATGCTAATTAAGTACTACGTACTAACTATGTAACCGACACCCTGAATTAGACATCTGCACTGATTAGATATGGGTCTTACCGCGAGTGATTTATGTTCGAAGTACACGTCTAATCAGCCATCCCAGGCTCAACCTGGTTGCCCTTCATCACACATTCCCACTCCCCTCCCCTACCGTTTCTCATACCCTCCAAAACCCCAACTTGGCACTATATGCGGTGACAGAGTGAACAGCAGGTTCTCCCCTGAGTTCGATCGGGAGAGTTGCTGAAATGGCGGATCTGTTCCTACTACCTGTAAGTCTGCAAAGTCGAGGTTAAGGTTTAATATTTACTTACCATCATCAGGCCTTTGCTCTATATTTACGCTCATAGACGTTCTAGATCCTACTATCAGTGGGCTATCCTCAGATCCCGAACCCCCTATCGTAGAATCAATCCTACTTTTCATCTTGCCCTGTAACTCGCCTAACAGCCCTGCCTGGAACGCTTTGCTTGGTTCTGGTCGCGTGTCCGCTTCCTGACCCCCATCGCTGACGGTACCCCAAGTACTATTTGTTTGAGCTTGTTCTTGTGCTTCTACATCGTGGCTGTGCGGAGTGTCGTTGTAGATCACCTGATCACCTGATTCGTCGCTCTTGTCTGTTTTCTGCGAGTCGGGCACTTTGCGGAGCTGGAAGCCGCCCTGAATAGCTCCGAGTAATGCTTCAAATGCAGAGTTTGCTGGAACCTTGGCGGCAAGTGGCGGTGATGGAGGGGGAGGTGGTGGAACGCTGGGTACCGGGGGTGGGGGAGGCGTGAACAAAGCCCGCGGTATGATGGGGGATGGCGGCATTCGAAGAGCGGAAGGGACTTGGATTACGGGAGGTGGTGTCGGATTCGAAGGCATCCGCCACTCTCGTAAGATATCGGAAGCTTGCGGTATAGTTGATGATGGAGATGTCTCAGTATATGGTGGTATGATAAAAGCTTGGGATTGCGTATATATGGGTGCAGGTGCAGACACTTCCTGATGGCTTACTGGTAGCGGTGGGAGTGGGAATTGGTTATGGAAGCATTCTGCTGCCCTGGTTGGCGGGTCAGCCTGCTTGTTCCAGACGTTGGACTCTTGTAGTTGGGGAGGTTCTTGCGTTGAAAGTTCCGGGGACGGTGCTCCACGAGCGATAGAACTCGGCTGCCACTGTGAACGAACCCCGGTTATTGGCGGTAAAACGCTGATCTCAGGATTGCCTACAAGCTTTGGTTTGGCGTCTGTCACCCCTCCCGTATTCTCCTTGCCTCGCGTTCGCTGCTCCCGTTGATTCGCCACATGAGCCTCCCACGCCTTTCGCTCAACCTCCCTCGGCTTCCACACATCACCTCTCCTCTGCCCGGGATATCGAGCGGCATAGTCGTCACGCACAGGCTCTTCTTTCCGGACCTTCTCTCGTGCTCGCTGACCTCCATCAGTGGTACCTTTCTTCGCATGAGGCTTCTTCTGTCTTCTATCATCAAATTTCTTCTCAAAAAAACCTTTCGACCGATGCTCTGCTTCATGCTCCGCTTTGATATGCTTATATATGTTCAGGAAGTGATCCCCTAGACCCAACGCTAGCCCTGCTTTGGGCTTGAACTTCGGCAGTTCGCCAAAGGGCGTACCATCTGGACCCTTGCGTTTTGTTAGCGATCGAGAAGCGCCTTCGCGTCGGGGTCCGTGTTCGGGTCTTCGCCGACAAGAACGAGAGCGAGACCTCGACTGTTGTGTTGAGGGTTGGCGGGTAGGACAGAAGGCAGTCAGAGATCTTCGTCGTCCTGATGGTAAATTTGCTCTTCGCCCGCGAGAGGGGGATCGGGGCCGAGATTGGGATTTTAGATCCTGCCAGGAGGTTTGATAACCCTGAGTGAAACTGCTTGGGAGATTTGCTGAGCCAAGCAACGGTGCATCAGATGTTCGGTGACCATCTTTCAGAGTATGCGGTGGTCCTGCACCGCCTGTCATCATGTACTGAGGGTCTTCATTTTGTCGTCCTTCGGCGACGGGATCTGGTACATTGGTTGGTCGCTTTCGCCGGTGTCGGCTTCCATCTCTGCGACGGCCGTGGGAAGACCTGTGCCTTTCTTCCAGTGATCTATCGCGATGCCCCTCGCTGGAGCTATGTCGGTGTCTATGTCGTGATCTGTCATGGTGTCTTTCTCTCGAGCCGTGACGATGTCCCCTATATGATACACGTCCGGTCCCATCACGAGATCTGGAGAGGTGTCGATGCCTATGCCCACGCCCATGCCGGTGTCGTTCCCTCGATCGATCCCCCATATCCCCTCGACTCCTCCTTCCCCTCTTCTTCTTCTTCTGTTCCTTCTCTTCCTTGGTTTGTCTCTCCTTATAACTCCGATAAAGTTCAACACCCTCAACCACAGCTTCAACAACAAGCCTCCCCGTACTTTTCTCGTGGTGCTCAGCTAGTAAGTCTTGGACGCGGCTCTGGATTTCTTTGCGGTACGCTTCGTCGTCAGGCATTGCACTGAGTGTTGTAGAAAGTCATATCGGGGGGTAAAGAGGGTAGATGTGGTAACGAGCTGCATGTGCGTGTGAAGAGGAGAGATTTGGAAGGGTTTGGTGGAAGGCACAAGAAGGGAGATAGCAAGCTGTTGGTGTTGGTCAAATGCTGGGTGGATATGTGAAGAATATGCGCTGGAATACGAACGCGTGCCAACATCGTGACATTTGGTGGATAGACAGCCAACCGATACTCTTCACAGGAGACTAGAAAACTCCACACGAATGCGACAGACTTCAGAGGATATAAAAAGCAAAGGTGATCGTACCGCTTGTCGTTAAGAGTTATAACACGATAAACACTAAAGGGACCGACGCTACATACTATCAAATGATCAAATATATCCTTTCCCATAATAATGCGCTTGCTGATCCCTCGTGACCGTTCGCAAGCCTCCGTTCTTCCCGTCTCAAAATCTATTTAATAACGGCCACTGACGGAAGCCCCCTACTGCGCATCAGTAAACGCCGCAACGCCCTCACAATCCCCGCTCAGAATAACCAGCACCTCCCGTATCGGTGCTCTAGTCGTCCTTCTATTCAACGTGCACACCTGAATCATTGTATCGTCAAGTTCAAGCACGTTGAGTGCAAGCTTCCTGACATCTGATCTCAAATCACATGGTTTGGTTAGCTGGTCTGTTATGCGCGAGGCGGGTGCGGAGGAGTTGGCGGTCTTATTGGCAGGCTCGAGGGGAGATAGGTGAGTGGGAGACTGAAAAAGAAGCAGAAGAGGATGTGTGGGTGTCGGGCCCGCTACTGGTGTGGGCTCGGGCTTTGACTTTATCAAGGCGGAGAATAAGGAGGGAAGTTCGACGCCAGGTGGGAATATCAGCGTCTGGAAACTGCCTCGCATCCAAGTTTTTCCCATCCTTTTTCTCCTCTCGCCTCCTAACCGCTACCTCCCTCCTTCATCAAATCCTCAAAAAACTTCTTCAACGCAGCGTCATCCCCTGGCCCATAAACATCAACAACACTTGGAATATTCTCTAGATTCCCCGCAGGACGCTTCGGCCTCGGCCAATGGATGTATCGTCGTCCCCTCCGGAAAAAATGGTCCCGGACTCATGCAGGACGGGATAACAGCTGCAGCGTTACATACATACAGATCCGGATACGAGGATAGGGCAGTTTGAGAAGTAGCGTTCGCTTCCGCTATCACGGGTCACCACCTGTTGAGAGCTTTCGCGTTTGGGGTCTTTGAAGCCCTTGCCGCGTGGAACGACGTTAATACTAGATGTCTGCAAATAATTTCGCAACGTCTTTAATCCTCGACGACTGCACAGCTCATGTACATTTCTTTGTTACCGATCTTGTTGAACCTGGGAGATATCATAAGCCATACAACCCTGAGCAAGGTTTAAGGAGACTTACCACGTCCAAGCAAACAGACAAGTAGTTTTACCCAACTTCGCGAACTCGGCAGGGACCGTAAAGCTGTACTGCTTTTGCAAAGGGCACGAACCCATGATACCCTTAACAACCTTGAACTGCATACCGCCGTCGCAGCTGAAACTGAACTGATTGCTCCCACCTCCGTGAGTAGCACTGCCTTGGAGAGTCATGTCGTACGTGTCACCAGCTTCGTAGGTAGCTACACTGTTCCATGGCGTGTTCCACTGGTAGCCTTTGCAGGCAAAGTCGCTACCATCGGCGTGCAGAGGCATGAGAACATTGTAGTCCTTTTGCTCGTCCGAGCGGTTTGAGTGTGGATCGCGGAAGGGAGAGGGATCGACCATTTGCATGTGAGCGAGGGTCGTGGGGAGAAGGACGAGTGCGCCGAGCACACTTATAAGAGAAAAGCGAGCCATTGTGTACGTGAAGATGACTTGGGCGTTCATCAGGGACTACTCTTAAGGGTCTTAGACGCAGTCTAAGGCAGGCGTAGAGAGTCATATTGAAGCTTGATGGTGAGAAGCAAGGGAATGGATTTGGCCGAAAAAGGACGAGGACGCGTCATTCCAGTGCTCGCGTGAGAAGTTCATGCTCGTGGTGGGACGAGGAAGAACAGTCAAGAGAAGATTAGGGGCTATATTGAGAGAGGTGTGCAAGGCAGAACTGAATGTAATAAGCGGTCTAACAGTTGCCACGGACGTCTTGATCCCACACCGAGCCTTTCTCACATATGATTCCCGTCTTGCCCCTTGATATCAGGTCGAGCTTGTATTGTCACATGCGAGTGGCGCGTCGTCGCGAATCGATACGCCGAGGAATGGGGGGTCTGAATATAGCAACATTCTACCCAGTATCCGTGCAACCGAAAAGCTTCGCGTATCGGCAAAGCCTAATCACCTAGAGGAATACAACCAATCGTGTCCAGTTCACTCGATATCGCTCTCCTCGCTCAACTTGTCTTCTTCGCTTCCCCCTTCTTCGCC